CATTTCCAAAAAGTACACTTCAATTAGAAGTCATTAGTATGCATTCGTCTTAGAATTTGTTAAGTTTGTTTATAAACATATTGCATTTATAGTGGTGGAGTATACAGAAATGTAAGAATATTTAAGTATTTGATAAGTATGATATATCTCGAAAACTAGAGCTGATACAAAGAAAAGGTTTATATTTTTGGAATCAGCACAGATGAATTAACCAAAACCAGTTAATTTTTTTTCGGCAGCAAGACAAAAATTTTTTTAGTGGGCTGTGTTATTTTCAACTTATGATTCATTTTATTTGTTTTTCCATAGATTTCAAATCAGTTAACACTTATTTAGACAATAGAAGTCCGAACTGTAACCTTCACATCATCAACTACTCTGAAATAAAGATAATGAGCGTGAGAAGGAGCAGTAAATTGGCGCAATAGCTTTCAACCTGTGGCCTTGGGATCAAACTCGACATTATCAAATATTTCTCTCGCAAAAAATTATCTAATTGAAGTTGGGTTGATTCTGCTATGTACGGGACTGTCAATAACCATGAATCACCTAGGTGCCTCAGGGCGTTATCAACACTGACTACCCAAAGCACCCTATATATTATTTATGCACGTGTTCATGACAGAGTAAGGCAGATTTTCGTCATTTTGAGGATCAATACCGATATACTCACTTGTCTTGATGCCGAATAAGTAAAAGTCGTTGTCGATATGAAACTGAGGACGAGCATTCCCAATCCTATTAATGAGTTCATCACGGCGAAATGCGTGATCCCATCCAGAAAATTGTCTTCGGCTTCTTTTCTTTGTTCGGGCGTCAAAGTGGGTTTGTAAATTGTTGAGGCAAATGCGATGATATCTCCAGTAAGGTTTCCATAAAGTAGGGTGTACAATGGTTGAAGTATGCCTGTTCCTAGAGCGGAGAGCAGTCCTAGGCATAGCAGAAATTTGTCCAGACCTGTGGTATACCTGAACTAAAAAAGAGAGGAATGAATAATCACAGCGGGTTAACAATAAACAAAAAACAGTTGTTGAAGAACCAAAAATTGTTACGTACGGAAAAATAATCTTTCAAGCTATTTATCATTTCCAAATCAATGATTCAAGTAATGATTTTGGAAAATATCAAATATCGGTTCGAATACAAAACTCCGCTCAATATTTTATTCCATTTATTCATCGCACATTACATTATTCAAAACATTGATATTGTTTGCAATTCATAAGTTTGATGTTTGTTACAAAATCAGATTTCAAGTTTCATTTCAGATCAATGCAATAATTCAAATCATCGTTGATAATTGTTGATTTAGCAATCGTCAGAGTAATTATTCATGACCAAAGAATAATTTTTCTTATAAATTGGAATAATGTTTCCAATCAAGACTTTTGATTACCAGTTTTTGTTGAAATTAGTTTTGTCCGTTGGAGTACTTGTCCAACAATGGTTTTCTTGACAAAACTTTTTCTTATAATGTAAGAGCCACCGGTAGACCGCTGTTTCAGCCTATTGGGCATCGTCAATACCGGGCAGGCGGTCCTCGATTGAAGACAAAATGTGAATAACCAAGAAAAGTACTTGATGAAAATAACTGCGTAAACGCAAGCGAGACATAAGTGGACCCACCTCTTGGTGTGACACCCAAGTCAACTTGTGTCCATGAAAGTTTACACTTTTTGAAATTAGATTCATATCAAGACAGAACATGTTGGTGAAAATCATAATGGTTTTGACCCCGTATCTACATTGAAAAGCCATAACTTAAGTCCTTCAGATTTTTTCCAGTTCCAAAATGTACGACACTGGTTTGAATATACCTAACCTATAAAAAGATGGTGGACGACATTTCCAGTATTGACCGCATTTTATACGATGAACCAGCGACAAAATAAGCCATCCCCGGGTAAATCATTGTGACGTTCAGTTAGAGCAATTTCAAGATATTGTGGTGATTGATTCTAGTTCCAACGACTCATTTTGTGTAACCAATAAATTGAGAATTCTCAATCCCCAATCTAATGAAAGAAGACAATGTTTGGTGACAGTGATAATGAAGTTTTGACAAAGCATATTTCAAAAACTCAAAAGTATGGTGCTCACGAAATTCAAAATTGTGTCTGACGATTGAAATACATTTGATTCAATGAAAACTACAAAATACCGTTACCATTGTCATTCCTATTGATAAAAGGTACTGCTGTGATTATGTAAACTACTATCTAGTAGGCTAACAGTGACATCATGAACAAGAAAGTAATAAATATATCTAGAATGTATATCAGTAGATATATCACCTAAGTTCTAACCAGAGAGAACTTCACTTAACTACAGAGTAGAAGGAGAAACGAATGAATCGATATAACGATTAGTTTTCGTTGTGTTTTCAAAATACTGCCCGTTTCCGGAGTGGGCAAATCCCTTTACTTTTTGGGTTAATGATATCGCAGTAGCGTATCCAGTAATTTCTGTTCAAAATAGGCGACACTACCTGGATATATCAGTTGTTCCAATAATGCCTATACACTGGGCATATAGATAAAGATGTTATTTATATGAAAAAAGTCTTTCATTGAAGTTAAACTGCCTTGAAAAGGCCATTTCAGAAAGTAGGTTAGGTTAGGTCCATTCACATAAGAAAATTAATATTTGGAATAGAATCTCCCGCGGCTGGATAATAAAGAAAAATCTGCAAGACTAACCTCTGTGAGATAGGTTAGGTTAGGTATAAAGTTAGTGGGTCTATTCGACCCTGCACCGCAACTCGCAAGGGTTTATTGTGGCACACATATTCACACTCGACCAAATGAACCCAGCTTTTTAAAATGAACCCAGCTTCTTAACGAAGCCGATTAGTTTCTATGATGAGTGGTCTTTTAGGTCAGATGGTAAGAGTACGGCTCTGCCGAACTCTAAAAACCTGATTCAGTCCCCAGTGGAGCAGGTACAAAGTATGTGCTCTACTGTTTCATTATTTTCCAAACAGAGGCAACACACACTGTCTTTCGACAGTCCTAGTCTCTGCATATGATGACTTAAATAACAATGACCTGTAAGAAGGCCTGTTAGACATCGTAGTTCATCCCTACTGTAGTCCAACAATTTTTTGGTATCAAGATTCGAAGGGTGAATAAACGCCCTGGAGTGAGCCAATCCTGGAAGATTCTGCCAGAAGTCCGTAAATCTTCTGGTCCGATGAAGCTGCTTGCAGCACTCTCTTTTGCAAGGGAGTCAGTAACCTCATTGCCTTCCAGGCCAGTATGACCAGGAATCCAGACCAGATACAATTTATTAAGTCTTCCTATTGGGGAGAGTTGTTTTTGGCAATTTGCTACCAACTTAGACGTTGCTCGATAGGAGCCAAGAGCTTCCAACGGCGTTTGACTGTCCGAGAATATTTTTATTGACGTGTGTATGAGGTTGGATTCTTCCAATCTCTCCGCACACAATTCAATAGCTCAAATTTCCGCTTGAAATACAGTCGCATAAGTTCCTAGGCAGGTTGATATATCTGTCCTGGGTCTGCGACTGAAAACACCTGTACCAGAACCGGAAGGTGTTTTTGATCCAACTATCTGCTCTTAATATTTCCTTCTCACGAAGGATCCAGTCCTCTCTATTCGGGAACAGTACTTTATAAGGCAGTTCTTAGTTGACAGTTGGGAGCATAAAGTCAGAGGACATTTTCAGAATGCTGTGACTTCCAGTGTCAACTAGCAGTCTGTTGCACTCTGCATTGAATTGATTTGTGCAATTGGCAATGTGCACAAGTCTGTATGCAGTCCATCTACCCTCTCCAGAAAAATGTGGAGAGGGGGTAGATCTAAAAGGATCTCTATGGCGGCTGACGGTATGGTACTGATGGCACCAGTGATGGCCAGACAAGCCTGTCTCTCTGTAAGCCAGAAAGCTTCGCCTGGACCGTTTTCTGTAGAGCCTTCGGCCACCAGCTAATTGTACCATAAGTGATCATCACATAAATCCAATGAATATGTTTGGGACCTAAACCCAAAGTTTCACCACAAATCCTTCGACATGTCCATAGGGGCAGTCTGTCTTTGTGTAAAACTTTTTCCAAGTGAGCATTCCAGGTGAGTTTTTTATCAAGGACAATGCGAAGATATTTCACCTCTGTTTCAAATGGAATAACCTCACCATTGAGGGAAAGTGGCGTTAGATCGTCTAAATTTTTCCTCCTGATGAAAGGGACTATCACAGTTTTGCTGGGGTTGACAGACATCTGCTCCCTCAGGTACCAACTGTGAACAACGTCTATCGTGCTTTGGAGGATATTACAAGCTACCATTCTCGACGTGGATTTTGCCAGGATGACAAGGTCATCTGCATAAGCTTGCAGATCTACTTTTCTTCTGTCGAGAGCATCAAGCAGACTATCCATCAGGACCACTGGACCACAGAAGGAGAGATAGTACCCCACTTTGAGGGCAGCTTCTGGTACAGAAAGTAAGAGATTATTCAAGATCTGAACTAAATAAGTTGTTTCTTCAAAGATATGATTTTCGTCTGGTGAGATGACGAGAACGATACAATTTCAGCGTGGAATGTTCTAATCTTCATTTATATATACATGTTAGTAGTGAAAGCTTATATTGAAACCATTTTTTATGAAGCAAATATCGGATTCGAATATTTCCCTTTGACTATTTAACGACACCGTACATGAATGTAACTAAGGTACGAAACTTCAGAGGGTGATTCGTTAGGTCGTTTTAAGAAAAAGAGTTTCTATGAACGTATGTCTGGAATTACTTCGCTTCTGATATACACGGCGTTGAAGTTTAAAAAAACGGTATTTATAAAATATCACAAATATCCCTACACCAATTTGGTTGAAATTTGCACCAGTTAGTAAAAAGTTAATAACAGTTAGTAATAAGGCGCTATTAGGTTCAGTGGAGTCTCAGTGGGTACCCCAACCAACAATATTGGGAAAAAAATATACCACTGACTTGTAATTCTTAATTTTTTTCAGATTGGGCAACTGAAAATACAACCTTTTCGTCGCTTGTGTTTTTTTACATATCAAGCTCGTTTCCGAGAAAAAAAAATCACTTCTGAAAACTATTCATGGATAACATAAAACAAAAACCAAAAGTAAATAATAAAAAATTT